ATATATATATATATATATATATATATATATATATATATATATATATATATATATATATATATATATATATATATATATATATATATATATATATATATATATATATATATATATATATATATATATATATATATATATATATATATATATATATATATATATATATATATATATATATATATATATATATATATATATATATATATATATATATATATATATATATATATATATATATATATATATATATATATATATATATATATATATATATATATATATATATATATATATATATATATATATATATATATATATATATATATATATATATATATATATATATATATATATATATATATATATATATATATATATATATATATATATATATATATATATATATATATATATATATATATATATATATATATATATATATATATATATATATATATATATATATATATATATATATATATATATATATATATATATATATATATATATATATATATATATATATATATATATATATATATATATATATATATATTTATTTATTTTTATTATTTTTATTTTTTTTGCTCCTAATATGAAAAATGAAAATGGCAGCATTTTTTCAACATTTTAAAGAATATCTTGTTTCGTGTTTAACAAAAGAAAGAAATTCATAAAAGTTCAGAACCACTTGATTGTTAGTAAATGTTGAAGAATGTTAATTTTAGGGTGAACTATCCCTCTAATCTCCATTCATATTGCTTGATGTATTGTGGTTTCAGATTGTTGTTCCTTCAGATGCAAAACAGATATGTGACGCCCGCATCAGGCAACAGAACTTAAGGCAGATGCTAAGCAACCCGACGTGTCAGATCATTACCTAGCAATAGCTCCACCCCCTTTTCCAGCAGCACCTGCTTGGCTTGTTCTTTGACACAAGGCAGGAGTTCAGGATCAGCCACCTCCTCCCGCGGGTGAATCAGAACCACCTACAGTAGATGGAAAATAGTCACTATTATACAGGATAGGCACATTTAAACAGGCATTTACATGTTATTTATTGGACTGTTATTTTCCCCTTGCATTCCCAAATATGAGCTTTTGAAAAAAATTGCATGCGAGACTTTTAATTTTAATCATATTACATAATCTTCGTATTAACTACATTTTTCATTTTTTAAAACTAGAGGAAAAAAAAATCACACAATGAAAGAAACCTCTTGCAACTTCTATGAAATTTGGAGTTGTCTTCTAGTTTGAATTAGGGATGCTCATTTCAGTTAATTTTGCCAACTGACAACTGCCTCTCGTTAACTGAATATTAACGGTTAACTGGTCAGATTAATATTAAATTATTATTTAATAAAAATAATTGACGTGTCTATTCAGTGTGATATACTGATTTATTGTAACATGCGAACAACAGCATACAGAACATATTAACAGCACATCTTCACACACCTGCATAGAAAAAAGATGAACTAAATAAAAAGAATAAAATAAATAGGTCTGAGCTAGATATTTTCACTTAAATGACAAATTTAGATCACAAAACAAAAACACTGACTGAATCCTTTTTAAGAACCGGCATATGCTATTTGTCTAATCATATGTTTTTTTTTCTTCCATCAAATAAAAATAGCAGGCTACCTCAAATCGATCACTCCACAGAAAATAGGCCTATGCATTTAATTAATGATCCGCTCTAATTCTTATATCACAAGCCTCTGTCAACATTCCTAATATAGATCATTAAAGATTCATGCTGTGTTTACACCATGAAGGCTGAAAAACAGCGTTGATTAGTTTGGAGCAGTGTCTAAGTCCACTAGATCCTTTCAGAGGTGCAACCAACTCTGTGAGCTCATTAACTCCACCAAAAACTTAACCTGGATAATGAAAGCTTTCGGCGATGCTTCTGACTGAGCCAAGCCCAGTTTGATGAACTGTTGTCGGTGTAGGCAGGAGCATTTTTCCCCTGGACACCAACAACAGGCGCTACGTCATTATCACGCCCCCACAAGAGCAAGCTCCTGATTGGATAACACGGCGCGAATGTCCGCTGAAGTTCAGACTTTCTAACTAGATTGTTACGCGCGTTAATTGCGAGAAACATGAGATACGAGCGTCAGTAGCGCAAAACGCTCAACTCTTGCCGCTTTATTCACACGAATCATGTCATTTGTGCCGCCTCATTCGCGTGTATCGTGCCGCAGGATATCTATTCGCAACTTTGCATTGACTTAACATGCAAATCACCAACCCTTAATGCCTCTTTCGCGTCTGGTCTCAACACAGCATCAAGATTATGTTTTGAGCACCTAATTTTACCTTAGAGCTTCTGTGCTTTTATTTTCTCTCTCACTTGCAGTTAATGTGTGCCGATTTTTTGAGTTTGACAAATCACACTGAACACACTTTTCCGTTCCAAAAACGCAAGATGTACCGCACTGCATTTTGTTGACAAAAAAAAGAAGCGTTGTGCTCTTTTTTTATGTCACTAGAAAACGACTGAATCAGCTGCGTAATGTGCGTGAGTGTTGCTGTTGATATTGTTATAATTGTAATATTTAATAACATTGTTATATTCAAGATTGGCATTTCAATCATTAATTTTTTATGTGCATCTCCAAAATGCGCTTAAAAATAAGTGGATGGAAACATAGCTAATGGCTCTTGGGATTATTCTTTCCAATGCAGATTTGCTGCAGCTGCAGTAATGCTTTGAGATGTACAAATGAATGCTGCATGATAATTCAAAGACTATTGTAAAGCCAGTTCTGTAAATCCCATATGTAAGTATGTACATTTAAGTTTGTTCCAATTCACTGAAAACTAGTTTGATCTTTGACAAGCAATGTGTCTGTCTTTCTCTGGCTCAGAAATAGCCTGGAAAGCAGATTTGAATTTAGCAGCTGATTATGTTACATACTAAAAATTGTAATCTTACCCTCCAGGAACCAGAACTGGTAGATCACACTGGTGTGATTGTCCTGTCAGAGGATTAATATTACAATTTTCTCCCCCCTGATTTGTTTACAGCAATAACGCAGTTTGTGGTTACCTACTAAGCTGAAGTAGATCCACCTCCAGGGACTCTACTTCTTCTATCTTTCTCTCATGAAGCCCTGCACTTTTCAGCTCATAGACTTCCATTCATACTGCATACTGTACTGCAGTTCAAGCTCGGTGAACTCTGACCTCAGAAATGGCATCACATGATTGCACGAGATCAATAGAAGATCAAAACCTGACCTCTCTTTAGAGAAATGTAAAATATAAAGCAATCACTTGCTTTATCACTGTCTAATCATCTTGTTTTATCCTGCTTTTTCACAGCTTCTTACAAGAGAATTTCACATGCTCCTTGTCTAGAGTGACTACTTTTTAAGTAAAAAAATGAAAGACATTTCAGAGAAAAGATCAAAGCAGTACTACATTTTAAATACTTAATATAATAATAATAATAATAATAATAATAATAATAATAATAATAATAATAATAATAATAATAATATGAGATTAGGCGAGTTGAACATGACTAATAGAGTCATGAAGTCAAAGATTTTACAATACACAAGACCTGTCACTCGTATACTTTTGAACGGGGAAGAGTGTAACTGTCTCTATGGTGAATGAAGCTCTGCCTTCTAGTACAGAAGCCAATCAGCAATTGCTATATGGTGAATAAAGCCCGCCTTCTAATAGAGAAGCCAATCAGCGATCGCTTTAGAATGACAATTCTCTGCGGAAATTGCTGGGACCAGGCTTGAGTTTCTGCAGATTTCATGTGATACGAACATTTAGAAGTGTAACTAAATTGACATTTGTTGTATAATTTTATTGGTTATTCGTAATATAAAATGTATTCGTAAGCTTGGCAAGTAGTTTTGGAGAACTTGATGTTTCCTCATTCAAACAGAATACCCAAGCATACTGCCTGAGAGGTGTTTCAAAGATGGCCGCAGAGTGAAATGACTTGCCTTAAAAGAACTTTGATAAAGTGATTGCAGAGTTCTACCTTCTTGTCGTGAAATTCTGTCTTGATCTCAGCTGCCATTTCAACACCAGTGGTTCCACCACCAACAACTACAATGGCGTTTGCTTCCTTGATCTGTAGCATGAAATGTAAATAGTATTATTAAATAAGAACGCATGACACAGCGGTTTTGAAGCAGCTCTAAATAAACTGCTCGGTAAGAAAACTCACCACATGGAAGAAGTCCTCATACTTCTGTATGGCTGATTTGTAGGTGTCCACAGAATTGTGTTTGCTTGGGAAGGATCCAGTTGTTCCAGTGCAGAGAATAAGGTGGGAATAACGAACTTCCTGTTGATTTATTTAAGCACTCATTCATTTTTGATGGATTTTAGCGCTCATGCTATCAAAACCATGTTGCAATATCACATACCTTTCCATTATCAAGCACAACTGTCTGCGTTTCTGTGTCTATCCGTATGACACGGCCTTGGAGGAAATTCAGCCCAAATGTCTCTTTGTATGGTATGAACGTCTTTCTAGCAAAACCTACAAAAACAAACAAAAAATGTGTTAAGTTTTATCAGGATGTTTGCTGTTCTGATTATGGTGATTACTGCATTACCAGTTTGCACTGAGGCACGCAGAGCTGCAACGTTGTGATGAAACGCATCCAGGACGTCAATAAGCATGAAGGGCACACCGTAATGTTTAAGGTGTTGAGCTGCTGCAATGCCGCCAAAACCACCACCGACAATCACCACATGAACACTCTCGTCAACTGACACCTGCCCACCCATAATGCTTCACTGCTGAGGAGAAACCAAGAGAGAGAAAAAAACAACGGTAATGACTATATTCAAAACTGTGTTTCATTCTGCTAAATAACACACATACGTACAGTTAAAGTAAAAATGATTAGCCCTCCAGTGAATTTTTTTTCTTTTTTAAATACTTAACAAATAATGTTTAACAAAGACTTTTTTCACAGTATTTACTATTATATTTTTATATTCAGGAGAAAGTCTTATTTGTTTTATTTCGGCTAGAATAAAAGCAGATTTTTAAAACCATGTTAAGGTCAACATTTTTAGCCCCCTTAAGCAATATTTATTTTTTGATTGTCTGCAGAACAAACCATTGTTATACAATAACTTGCCTAATTACCCTAACCTGCCTAGAGAACATAATTAACCTAGTTAATTAGAAATAAGTTTTTATTATTAACATTTTTCAAATCTTCTCTTGTCTGATTTTGGTGAGCCTGTGCGAATTGTTGCTTCAGTTTCCTCAGTTTCCTTTTCTGACAGGAGTGACACCCAGTGTGGTCTTCTGTTGTTGTAGCCCATCTGCATTAGGGTTCCATGTGATTTGTGTTCAGAGATGCTCTTCAGCGCACCTCAGTTGTAACGAGTGGTTATTTAGTTAACTGTTGCCTTTCTATCAGCTCAATCCAGTCTGGCCATTCTCCTCTAAGCTCTGGCATCAACTAAGCTTTTGCGCCCACAGAACTGCCGTTCATTGGACATTTTCTCTTTTTCGGACCATTCTCTGTAAACCCTAGAGATGGTTGTGCGTGAAAATCCCAGTAGATCAGCAGTTTCTGAAATACTCAGACCAGCCTGTCTAGCACCAATAATCATGCCACGTTTAAAGTCACTTAAATTACCTTTCTTTCACATTCTGATACTCGGTTTGAACTGCAGCAGATCGTCTTGACCTTGTCTACATGCCTAAATACATTGAGTTGCTGCCATTTGATTGGTTGATTAGAAATTTCTGTTAACAAGCAGTTGGACAGGTGTACCTAATAAAGTGGCCGGTGAGTTTATATTTACATTCACAAAACTGTTCAGAAACATGTTTTTTGGAAATAAGTTTTTATATTTTTAAAAGATGTGCTCACCGATGTCTTATTTATTAAAAAGCAGTGAAATGTAAAAATGAAAAATAACCCTTACTTGTTTTATTGCCATTTAATTGCACTTTAAGCTGAATACTAGTTATAGTATAAAAGTATTATTTAAATTTAAATATAAATTTACATTAAACTTCCTTTTTGAACACCCTTGCTTGAAACTTCCAAGTTCAATACCATTATCATAAATACTTATTGATAATTTTATTTTCAATTAAATTATTTTTATTCAGAATTTGTAACATTATCTGTGTCTTGAATGTGAATTCTGAACAATTTTCTGCATCTTAAAATACATGATCAGGATACAGTAAGACATGGAACATTTCCTCTATTGTTTATTTTAATCCAATTATTTGAACACAACTGGTCAGCCAAAAGGTTTACAACAGTTGCACATGCTATTATTCAGAACTCTCAAGAAAGGTTTCAGCATAAGCAAATGGGCTACATAATATATTCCTAAATGTGTTCTCTACGTGGGCTACATACCAACATATAACGAAACTTAAAACACTTTTGAACACTTACCAATTTCTGTATGTAGGTTTCCGAATATGTACAGCTCTGTTTTCTTCTTCTCCACACGGATAGATCTTCAACTCTTCCTACTTCTATAGCTGCATCGGTTGGGGACTTTGATTCTATCCAATGCAGAGCAAGAGAGGACTCCATTCCTAGGCCCTGAGCCAATGGCAGCGCGCGTAGAAGGCTTGTGGGCGGGCTCTATCTGCTATGCGCAATCATAGCCGACCGAGTGTGATATAATGAGACATTTTCTCTTCTTTTACAGTGGTACTGGAGAGGGATAGGAGTTATGTGTAGTCGACGCTCGTAAAACAGTTAGCAGACCATGTTTAACATTAATGATAAAACTATAAACAGCAGATGTTGTCTTAAGCGAAGTGTACTCGAACATATATGATTCATCAAAAGACTACAAAACAGTGAAAGGTCACAAAGTCGAGCTGAGTCACGATGACAAGCAAGGCATTTTCTTTTATTGTAGCTACAATATTTACTTTAAAGGAACCAACTACTAGCTAATTGTTCACTTTTAACTGTAATGTAGCTATTGATGCAATGCAATTGTCTTATTATTATTATCATTATTATTATTTAGGTAGAGGTAGTATTTTGGGCTTTGCCTCTTCCTGCACAATATGCCTTATTGTTCTGTTTTATTCCAACATTTTGTTGTATTTTGTTAATGACTTGGTCGATGGCTTTGTAGAATAGAGTAAACTGCATGGACTGAGATTGTTCAGGAAAAGAGGATATAACAAATTATTTAGGAATAAATATTCAGAGTGGCCCACACAGGGTCCTCCTGGCTCGATGACTTTTCTAGAAGCTGTTTATAAAAGCAGAACCCTGAACTGATTTAAGACGTTTTGCAAAATATCTTGGCACATTTTCGCCAGCTGGTGGCGTTAAAATCCTTTTTGTTTTTAAGGATTTTTTATTCCATATCTGTAAAGTCTGTCTACAGATGGCACAGCCGTATGTCTCTCTCTGTTTTACTAAAAGCCTAGACCAATTAATTTTAAAATACAAGAAAGCATCAATATATGCATAATACTTTGAAGATTTTAGGATATTCACATTCGGAATTATGAATTCTGATTATAACTATTTTAAATTGTTATATAATTGTTAATTGTTACTACTGAATTATTAGATTATCTGCTACCTATTTTTATATAGTTGAAGTCAGAATTATTATAATTTTTCGACACATTTCTAAACATAATAGTTTTAATAACTAATTTCTAATAACTGATTTATTTTATCCTTGCCATGATGACGGTACATTTTACTAGATTTTTTTCAAGAGACTTCTACAGATTAAATTGACATTTAAAGGCTTAACTTTACTTTTAAAAGTGAAACAATTTCTTTACTATTTTCAGTTGTTTTCTTTTTTATTTTAGGATAAAAAGATTTTAAAACAAAATTTAGAAAAGACAATTGAGTGGTGTAAGAAAAAGAGAGCAAAACAAACAAATATAAAGGGTACATATTGAGATTTTTAGACCCCATGGCTAGTAGGGCCCCCCAAATCACTAAACCCGTCCCTGCATGGCTGGAATAAAGGCATTTTTAAAAATAGGGTCAATATTATTGTCCCCTTTAAGAAATATTTTTTCGATTGGCTTTAGAACAAACCTCTGTTGTCCAATGACTTGTCTAATTAACCTAACCTAAAACGTCTAAAGAAGATAGTACAACAAATAGGACTTAGATTATTTTAAAGAAACTATTGACTTGCATTGTTTTTTTATACAATGGAAGTCAGTACGGTTGTCAGCTTTCATCAAAATATGTTCTTTAGTGTTCAATAAAAGAAAGAAAATAATATTTTTAGAGGGTGAGTAGAGATAATATTAATTTTTGTGTGAACTACCCCTTTAATACTGTGCAATGGTTTATCCCAAAAAGTAACCCTAGTAGTTTTGACAGCTGCATTACACATCTAAACAGACCAAGTTTGCTAAAATTTAAAAGACTTCTTGACAATCATTATTTTAGGGAATTACCTGGAATTATGTAGCATAGGCCTAATGAATATGTGTGCAAAGGCTATTATCGGTCGACAGGTGGCGCTCGAGTAAAGAAAGTATTATGTTCTTGGATCTTTTTAGCTTGGAGTGGACATTTAAAGTTGTAGAATGACCTCTGGAAATAATGAATTTCCTATTTGCAGGGGCGGACTTGGTGATTTGGGGCCCCTAAGCAATTCCAGGTATGGGGCACAAACACTGAAACTCAAAACTCGTTTTTTATAGATATTTCTTTCTCTGTAGATTTGTTTTGTTGTTTTGTAAAAAAAAAAAAAAAAAAAAAAAAAAAAAGCTATGTTAAAATGTATATCTTAAATGCAAACTTTATTTTCTTCATGTAAAATTAAATGCCAGGAGACGCAGTGGCGCAGTAGGCAGGGCTGTTGCCTTACAGCAAGAAGGTCGCTGGGTCAAGCCTCGGCTGTCGGCGTTTCTGTGTAGAGTTTGCATGTTCTCTCTGTGTTTGTGTGGGTTTCCTCCGGGTGCTCCGGTTTCACCCAAAACCCAAAGACATGCAGTACAGGGGAATTGGGTACGCTAAATTTTCCATAGTGTATGAGTGTGTATTGATGTTTCTCAGAGATGGGTTGCAGCTGTAAGGGCCTAAACACATGCTGGATAAGTTGGTGGTTCATTCCGCTGTGGCGACCCCAGATTAATAAAAGGACTAAGCCGAAAAGAAAATGAATAAATGATGAAAATTAAATGCAATAAATTCACAAATAAAAAAGAAGTTCATAAACTAACCATGTTAATTAGTCTATTTAATCATATTTTATTATTAAATAGACTATATTTAATAATAAAATATTATTAAATTTTAATATTTGCACGTGCACATTGTGCAGTACGTAAGGAATGTTCCACTATTCATGGGGGCCCCTGATTTTAAAAAGAAGTAACAACATCAAAATCTTAATGATTATAGACAGATTTTACAACATATGATAGAAAATTTATAAAAGAGCTACATGATTAATATAGCCTTCTTGGCATTGCTCGAGGCCCCCAAATTTCCCGGGGCCCTAAGCAAATCCACCCCTCCATATTTGATAAATTAATTTGCTCTCTTAAAATGTCAAAAAACAAAAGCATACAGAAGTGCTTTACATGAACAGTTATGTTTTTATTCATGTAGTCGTGCAACAAAGTAACCCAATGCCATTGAAATCCCTGAGGGTTCATCTGTAGGTCCTGCGTGACCTCTCGTCTCACTGGAGTCCACCGCCTGACCAGCAGGGGCTGCAGAATGGAGCATCTCTGAATGAGAGGAACTTTTGGTTCCTCCCCGCACCGCTACTGCACTCCGGCGGACACTACAGTCGGATGAGCGCGGGTGTTTGTCCGCTGCTGTGCGCTTCTGAACAAATTTCTTTGAAGTTATTCCTATGTTTCAAAGGGCAAACAAACTATTTTTGCTTGTTGGTCGTTCTCTTGCTGACCACACTCTGTGAGTCGAAACTGCAACTGATGCTGGACAGAAAATGACTTTTGCGGGAACGGAGTCGGTGTGAGTTTACATACAACGGTAAGGTGGTTTAAATTTTGCCGATGCCACATTAACGCGTAATAACGGGTTATAAAGAATGGAAACATTAAAAGCGAATGTTACCCTAGGCGAAAATAAATTTACTTTTGTTTTACTGTAGCCTTGTATTCGTTCCCATGGTGAATGTATACCAAACGCGCGTGCTGCATTATGGGATACCTGCGAGCTTATTAAAAGCACTTTTTAGCGGTTAATTTACCAATGCAGTTCACTTTTTTGTCTCCTTATCGTATATCTTGTGTAAGATTTAATAATGCAACATGTTGTGGGTATACATGATTCGTGGAACTAACGGTTCAGGGATGTTAATGATTCTTCTGTTAATGAATCATTCAGTCTGTACTCAAGTCAGTAACTTAGCTTTGTAACGTTAATCTTCTTGAAGTATGAGATGGTTTTAGCTTTGCTCTGACTTTCTCTGTTATCAGAAGTAACTTGAGACTGCTGATAAATAATCTCAGACTTTTACTGACTTAAAACATTGAAGCATTCAGTTTGATATACTTTAGTTGGGTTGCTATAAGACAAAACACAACTCATAACAGTAGATAGGGTTTCTGCAGCTTTCAAAGAGTTAAATTTAAGACTTTTAAACACATAAAAAAATTATATATATATATATATATATATATATATATATATATATATATATATATATATATATATATATATATATATATATATATATATATATATATATATATATATATATATATATATATATATATATATATATATATATATATATATATATATATATATATATATATATATATATATATATATATATATATATATATATATATATATATATATATATATATATATATATATATATATATATATATATATATATATATATATATATATATATATATATATATATATATATATATATATATATATATATATATATATATATATATATATATATATATATATATATATATATATATATATATATATATATATATATATATATATATATATATATATATATATATATATATATATATATATATATATAT